AATGAATATTTCAACTATTTTTTATGTAAGAAGTGAATCAATAAATTAAATAATAATGACTACCTTTGAACTAAGTTTGTTCCTAATTTATTTTGATTTGCAACAAATTACATGTAAATTGACACACCTATTATTAAAATCATCCACTAATTGAATTCCAGGCTTGGTAAGAATCCGCAGGTATCCGCGATAGGTTTGGATCTCCCAACTCCAAAGCAGAATTATATCGTTTTTCATATATATTCGAGAGAGCATCACAAGAACTCGGAGCAATATACTTATCGAGCTTTCATTGAATATTTTCTTTACTGAATATACGTGTATACGCGCTCCAGGTCTATATTGCGAGTGCAACGAAGCACAAGCGCTGCAAAAGTATTTAATCAGTATGCTGCGTTCAATCGATGCTCCACATATTATGCATCTTTGTCTGTATATTCAATTTTCGTTCTTTAACACGCGCTCGTGTGAATCAGCAATCAAAAGCTCGCTACCATGTCTGATTTATTTAATTTATGTTTCTTTAAATATTTCTCACGGTCTTCGATAATTTTTCTTGTTTGAATATCATTATAGAAATACGCGTCGTGTTAAGAGTTTTTATTAATTGAAATTACAGGCGTGCTCGACCGGACTGTACTTGTGCATGTCAGCGAATTCTTTGGCTTTAGCCAAAACGATTGGTCCGGAAAGTGGTATTTTTTTCACGCTGCTGCACAAACCATTTAAAAAGACACTTTTCTACGTTTATATTTTTGGGTGTAAATCTGTTTACATTTTGTATGTGTATTCAAAATGAAGTAATAATGAATGATTTCTTGACTATAATCTTAATATTTCGAAATATTGTATTAAAAACCTGAAAAATTCGAAAAAATTCAGAAAAAATTTTTCGAAATAACCAGGGTTTCGTTTGAAATAAAAAAGTTTTAAGGACGTTGGGGACGCAACCGAGTTCAAATCAGCAATTATCAAGAAACAGCGGAAGGTAGATACTTGATTTGACTAGGTGGGTCGGTGGTATCATAGGCTCAAAGCCAATACATATGCTATCACGCGTATTTTTGTCTGCTGATAACCTCTCGAGTTAGATTGCATGTAGAACAAACACGAAATTTTTTTATTTTTATAAAATTACTTTGAAATATGCTCGTGAATATACCATATAACCGATACCATTTGAAACGTAATGATTTCATCTTTCATTATGCGAAATTTGGTCCCGATCTCCCATTTTGACCTAAAGTTACACTTAAAATAATGTGAGAAATCGGCGCTTTCCTATGATTTCCGTGTTAAAAAGTGTACTTTTGAAATTAAATTATACAAAAATTCATTAGACAATCGATGCTAAAATTTCGGGGGATTATGAGTGTTATTAACTATCAAATTCCGAAGTATCAACTTCGTGGCCCAACTTGACCTAAAGGTCCCCAACGTCCTTAAATCGGAGCTGGCCGGGACCGGCGTGTTTCTTAGAATTAACCAGGATTTCGAAATAAAAAGGTTCGAATTAAACAGGTTTCAATTTATTACTACTACTACTACTACTACCACTATCACTACTACCACTTTACACACCTAGAGTGAGCTCGATGCCATCCATGGGTGTACGTTGTCTTTTCATGCACACTTATACGGTAAATTACGTCGCGCACAGAACTAGCGGAACTCGAGGATAGAGCGCAAAACTTTCGGCGTGTATAGAAATAGACGCGTGTTGCGTGTACGTGTTTGAGCGCGAGCTTAATTACCACCGGGGTTACACCCATACACACACGATGGTCATCTTATACGGGTGTGTGTGGGCGATGATAAGACTCGCACGCTATTTAGATGTAGCTCCGTTTTATTATGTACTTCTTATCATTATTGTTGTTGTTGCTGCTGGTGATGTCTTTGTTATGATTATTATTTTATTTGACATGTCACGCGCTTCTCGATCGATAAATTTTCGCAAATTAACTCACTCTCTTTCACTTTCTTCAGGACCGAGCTTCGTGGCACGCATGACCTAAATGATTTTACATTGTTATTGATATACACTTTGATAAAGTCGAGGCGTGTAATGCGATTTGTTATGCAGTTGATGTAATACCATGCAACATCGCGACGCGAGAATAGGAGTGCTATAGCGTGAAAAAAAAATTCAATTTACGCAGGATACTCGCTATTCATTACAAGCGGCGAGAGAAAAGCTGATGTAGCTACGAGAGAAAGTGAGAGGATGAGGGAGTTAGAGGGAGGAAAAAAAACTCTCTGATAATTAATGCGATGCTCGAACTTCATGGCTTAATGTATGGCGATTAGCGAGCGTTTAATCCCGATAAAAGTCGATTAATTAGGGCGCGCGCGCGGGCTCGCTGCACGATCGGCCGGCAAGGTCGCTTATATATACACACACAGATGTATAGATCTCGTACTGCAGGCATTACATAAGTGCTGCCAGCTGCCTGCTATAAATGAGCTCGGGAAAATGAGTCTGAGAATTTACACCGTCGGTGACTCCGAACGGAATTTTTGTTTATTGCTCAGTTGTGAATCGAACCAAAATGAAGAGGCGTTCGAAGATACATTTCTGGTGATTTGATTGTAAAATATCCATGAACATCGGAAGAATATAATAAGCTAATGGTTTTCAAGTCGCCTTCAGCGGGTGGTGGTAAATAGCTTGTTTTTGCGAAGCGATATGAATGGTGTAAATTAAGTATCAAATCAATCATTATTAAAATTGTTTTTTTGAATTACGAAGAACTTGCAGTCACTTGGCTCCCGTTACATGAGAATCTCGTACAAGTAAATTATTACTTCAAGACGAGGATTTCCTACTAAATTTTTTCTTTAAATCACGTTTTTTTCTTAAAATACGCCGTAATAAGTCTGTTTAATAACTCATGGGAGCATCAGCCAACCAACTTAGAGTATTTACTGTATCGCTGCTAACGTTCTCTAAAACAATATCGAAATTATTCGATTATTACCGTAAACGCGAGCGAGTTCTTGGAAATATATTCGAATTTTCAATCAATGTAACATACCGATAGGGAGCGGGTACTTGAGGATATAATGAAAGATCGGTTCTTTAGCAATACTACAAAAAATTTGAAGTTGACACAATATTATTAAAATTAGAATTTATGTACGAATAATGAATAAAATATTTTTCACAATCATGGAAAAATGAATGATACATTGAACTATTTAACTTTCCTTTACAAAAATTTGACTTTACGAAAACACTTCACATTTTCACATAATTGCAGAAATCTTTATTCATCTTCATTCATTATAACATCTTACGCTTTTAAGATTTACATGAATTGTGTACTTCATGTATGTGAAATTGGAGGTGATATTTCTGTCCAAATGATATATGTAAAATTTTGCAATGTTAGGGATTATATACTGTCATCACGTACCTCTTGAGTTTATACTGTTCACCAAATTATTTAAAGGGATTTCCAAGATTATGAGCAGTCACTCTATGATTTTTGAGTGCATTCTGGTGTTCAAATGACTTGTGACAAATATCACATTCGAATGGTTTTTGGCGATCGTGTACTGTAATTGTATGCCTTTTGAGAGTTGCAATGCGACCAAATGACTTGCTACAAATATTACATTCGTATGGTTTGCTGTGATTATGTACCTTATTTATGTGATTTTTAAGATGACGATTACTTGTAAATGATTTTTTACAAATATCACATTGGAAGGGTTTGCTCTGTTCATGTACTGCATTTATGTGTCTATTGAAGTTACCCTTTTCTTCAAATGATTTGTAACCAATTTCACATTTGAAGGATTGGCACTGATTATGTACTGCATTTATGTGTTTATAGAGGTGACTTTTATGTCCAAACGATTTGTGACAAATATGACATTCGAAAGGTTTGTTCCGATTATGTACCACACTTACGTGCCGCTTGAGGTCACTTTTTTGTCCAAATGATTTTTGACAAATGTCACACTCAAAAGGTTTGGTGCAATCATGTACTAAATTTATGTGACGTTTGAGGTAATTTTTTAGTCCAAATGATTTGTGACAAATCTCACACTCGAATGGTTTTTGGCGATCGTGTACTGTAATTGTTATGACGACGCATCCACGCGGGCGACGTACGCCTCGCTTCTCGCTCGTAGATGCGCCGCAATTTTGGCTTTTGCGTCTCGGTGTGCTCGTCGGCTTTACCGCACGTGCGGAGCGCCAGACGACCGCGAGGTCGTCGCCGACGAGCGCCACAAACTCTCGCTTCTACCCGAGTACCTGGCCGGCTAGCCCCGATACTCCGCAACTCGCTCAGGGCTCCGCGGATCCGATGCAGCGCTAGGTCTGCTCGCTCGCGCCGATGTATCGCGCCTATCTCCGCGTCCCGATATTTCTCGCGCCTAGCTCCGGACGAACTCACTCGCGTTCGCGAGGCCAAGAGGCCGGTCGTGCCGAAGCACGGGTCGCCTGAGGGCCTTGAGGCCGCGTCGCGCCGAACCCAGACGACGAGGTCAACCACCACGTCCTCTCTAGCTCTCACACACTCACTCACGCTCACACTCCCACACTTGCACGTGCGACGTCGTGCAGACTCACACCCGACGAGGCTATTTGCTGGCACACCCGGGCGCCTCGCAAACACACACGTATCACACGGCGTGGTCAGCACTCACACTCTATCACACTGCAATTACGACGACTCACCAAAACGCTCAACTTCTCACACACGCTACTTCGCTCGGGAAAATACCGAAAGATTCTTAGCCAAGGTTGAGAAAGGGCTCAAGTCCGATCGCTTGCGCAATCGGTCGACTACTCTCGCGACTCGGCTCGCGAACTCGCGCGTGGCCGCTCACACTTCCCTCTCTCTGCGGCCCCCACGCGAGCCGCCCGTCCGGCCCGCAGACTACCGAATCCATGCGAGAGCGTCGCTCCGATTGTGAGTTCGACTCCGCATTGACCCGGCATGTCACAGCGGGCCGTTACGCGGCCACAACGTTACATTGTATGCCTTTTGAGAGTTGCAATGCGACCAAATGACTTGCTACAAATATTACATTCGTATGGTTTTCTGTGATTATGTATCTCATTTATGTGATTTTTAAGATGACGATTACTTGCAAACGATTTGTGACAAATATCACATTCGAATGGTTTTTGGCGATCGTGTACTGTAATTGTACGCCTTTTGAGAGTTGCAATGCGACCAAATTGACTTGCTACAAATATTACATTCGTATGGTTTGCTGTGATTATGTACCTCATTTATGTGATTTTTAAGATGACGATTACTTGTAAATGATTTGTGGCAAATATCACATTCGAATCGATTCGTCATCATGTGCTTTCGGAGGGTATTTTGACCATATAACTTGTGACCATTACGACTTTCGAATAGTCTACATCTACTATTTTTTGTACTGCTGTGTCTTTTTAGACTCGCTTCTTTGTTGTACGTTTTTTTACATACTTTATAATTATGCGATAATTTAGTATGTGTTCTTTTTTCAACTATTTTCACATCCTTGAGTTCGTCAAGTTGCAATTGAGAGTTCTCTTGAAGTAGACAATTATTACGAAAATCAAAATTTTTTTTAATCAAAATTATTAGGCTTTTCCCATTCAAGTGATTCGTTTGTTTCTTGTTTTCTGCGTTCACTCTAGGTGAATGACTCATCTTCTGATTTTCGAAATGTTTGCTATTAAAATCAATATATTTTTTTCCACTTGTGTCATCTGTCTGATTTCCGTTTTCTAATTTCACGATAGGTAAGCAACTTTCATAATCAGATGTGCAGATGCTTTTCAATGGAGATGGAGGTTCAAGCTTTACATCTTGGCATTCAAATTCAATGGATATACTTTCATCCAACTTCTGGTTCGAGACAATATCCTCATTCATGTAATTTACCTAAAATGAAAATTATGTTGTATTTTTTGATCGGGGAAAATGTAACGTTATTAAAGTCATTAAACTGACCGATCTGTTAACATGTGGGGATGTTCCATAGTTTTTGACTTGGTAAAAGTCCATGGAATCGAAATTAGTATCGTCACCTGCATCTGACTAACTATCTTCCGGTTCCTCCTTTACACTGAGAAAAACCAAATTTCGATGAAACGATCGATTCAGAAAATACTGTGACATTCACAAAAAATTTTATACCTAACTACGTCTCTGCGACTTTTCATTTTTCGCTCGATTATACAAAATAACTGTCAATTTTGAAAAAATATATTCGAACACTGAGAAAATGTTAAAAGTCAAACACCATAAATAGTCAACAAAGTACTTTGATCTCCTCAATTTGTAAACACTCGCTCACCAAGATACCATTTCAATTGAACTCGTTACTTGTAATATTAGAGAGTCGATCCCGCGGTTGACAGCTCCTTGGCGATATTTTCCCTCTCTACCGTACACTGCTTATACACAGCAATCGCTCGTACAACATTAAAATTACAGTGAAACTGTAATGAAAATGTCATACATGCAGGCGTACGATTATTTTACACAACGTGCCCTATATGTGAAATAACCAATCTCAAACGAATATATAATTCTGATAATTTCATTGTCTAATATCCATGATCACTATAAGTGCAAATTCTAATACCTTTAAGTTTTTATTGGATTATATTTCGAACTTATTTTCTTATTTTTTTCATTTTAAATTTGATTATTTGATTATTTGTAATTTATTACTGAATTTTTACAGGAATGTAAACAAGTTTTACATCTTGCGACTGTTTTTTCTCAGGTGAATGTTTGATTTTTTTTCACGAATTTTCTTTTTTACTCAACAATCTACAAGATGTTGCACATCATAAAACTTTAGCTCTGAAAAAAATTAAAAACTAAATTTTCTGATATATTACAAAAGTTGCTTCCTTGTTTTAGAAAAAACCAATAAAAAAATTCATTTTGAGTTATTGATCCCTTTTCTGCAGCACACCAGTTGACAGTAAAAGTAACATGCATTATAAATTCACGTGATACGCTGGGAGGGATGTTGCTCAATAAAACCATACATATAAAAACTCAAGTATAGATTCATATGTTATGTTAAAAAGAACGAATTAGTTTCACAACAGTATAACGAATATTTTATTGATATTAATAAATTAACAAGACTTATTATACCTTGGCAATCGCGATTCTTTTTTACTGATTCACAAATTGTTTGTTAAATGTAAAATCTTGACGAGGCAAAGAGAATACACCTGTCGATGCCTTTACTCATTGAAAAGTTCGCGCAAGCACATAATAGTCCAAATGCTCCAACGGGGGAAAAGGTACACACTAAGCTGCGCGCAGAAGTTTTCATCGAATTAAACATTCCTTGAGCACTGCGCGCCAGGTCTGTTTGTGTGTGCGTGTGTGCACGCGCGCGTTGGACGCAAAAGTGTCGTCGTCGTGTACGCGTTACTTAATTGCCAAAGTTCGTCCCGAAGGACAATAAAGCCTCGGCTGTTCCGAGAGCGAGAACACGAGATCGGCGACTGCTGCCGCCGCTTCTGCATTTGTCCGCGCAATTTCGTCTCTTGCTGCGAGATGAAAAGTAGTCAAATCAGTGTGTGAGACTAGAGTTCGGCGCATTTAAAAGAGTTGCTGCTGTGGCTTCAGAGCTAGATTGACGCGGACGAATAATAAATGCGAAGTAACTTAATGTTTGCAGTGTTAAAGTTTTCCTGGAAAGAATTTTAGATTGTCATTTAGACTTTTAATATGGAAAAAAAGCGAGGTTGGATTTTTTTATTAACAATTTCTGATATTATAATTGTTTTCTCGCTGCAACGGTTCAATGCATTTTTCATGAATGCGAACTGAATGGTTTGTTTGTAAATAAAATAAAAATATGCTAAGGAGTGAATGTACAAAGTTTATATGATAAACTTACTATATAATTTATATAATAAAGTTTATATAATAAACTTTGTTGCCAGAGAAAATCTTTCTACTGCACGTATTTTATTAATAGAAATACAAAATACATGATATCATAAGTAGTAGATCTGGTTACGCACAAGCTATACAACTCGATGGTTTCAAACGAATCTGTCTTGATTCTGAGGTATTCCAGTTTTCCAACACTTTAAATACGATATAATACCACTTTTGGACTTCACCACTAGATGGTGAGTACTCCTTCATCTGTAAATAAGCAAGTGGCAAAATGAAAATAATTGTATTAGTGTTTGAAATAATTGTATAAGTCTTTGATATAAATGTATCATTTCTTTGAAAATTTGCTCGTCAAATTTGAGAACAATAAAAAATGCATTTTCCTTAATTCAAAAAGTTAAATCTTATAATAACTATTATAATAACTATAAACGGTATGACTAATTAAAAAGTAATAATAAATCATCTACTTTCCATTTACAACTCAAAGATACCCCACGTACAAAAAAATTTTGTGACCGAAGTAGGCCCGAACGTTACAAATGAGACTGCTCTGCGCCAGTCTTCTAATAAAATTATGTGAAGTTTGATCGAAACATGTTCCATATCACGGATATATGTGGCCCGTGTATGGCCCCCAAAATCAGCGAGAAGTTTTGGAATTTTTTTACAAAGTACGACGCATGTAATCGCCGCATGACATCCAATCCACAGCCAGGTTTGAATAACTTGCATCAGTTATTCAAATTTCGGTAAATTTACCACCTCGATAGCTTCTGCGCCTTTGAAAAAATCGCTTCTTTTTTCAAACTAACCGAAAGGTAGTCACTCAAATTCGTGAGCGCTTTGTTTTCGACCACCCCTGCCTTCTTATACCTTGTTATGATATCGGCGTTGTCTGAACAACAACATTCAATATACGCAAGTAGTAGTTTATGAACTAACCGCTAGGAGGCGAGCTTGCCGAAAGCTCGTCCCGCTTAAACAAAATATGGCTAAAAATAGTTAAGGGCTGGCGATAGTACCTGCAAGTAACCCACGTACTGAGATATTTTGTCCTCAATTTTCCCCACGAATAATGAATCAAGCATCTTGAAACTTCGAAGTAACGGTCAGAAGATTGATACAATTATGCTTGTGCTCTTGTTTTCAAGGAATTGTCTTATAAGCTTACTTAAATTAAATTTTTTGGAATCAGAGGTTATGAAAACCAAACCAACTACATCGTATAGCCAGTATTAGAAGCCGTCGCTGCCTCCTTGGACTCGTGATTTCACATCACATGTTGAATTTGTCGCACGTCTGCTCTATACAGATTCTGCCTGTATACCGTGGCTAAACGCTTTACAATGGAAACAAAAAATAAAAATAAATAAAAACAGTCTCGCTTGGGTTTTCCACTTAACGATTTTTAAACGCACGAGTGGCTAAGGCACGATTTCCTCTAACGCTTTAATTTCTTTTTGAGAACGTGAAGTGCTGCAGGTTTTTTCTACACCTTGTAGATACACACGCAAAACACCGCACTCTGACCTCACGTACAGTCTGCGTCTGTGTTCACGAGTTTGTCTGTGTGTGCACGAGGTAGTTTACAAGTAACGGCTGTGTATTTACGCGCGTGGTGTAGCAGTTACGGCTGCTGAATACAGCCACTTGGCGGTTTCAGTTACTCTACCATAGCTATTTTCGAGCGGGGCTTGCAGCGTGTATACGAATTAAAAGCGAGAACCTCGAGATTTTCAAGCATCCGTGGTTTTTGCTAATACGCGTAAATATACAGGCGGCCGCCTCTTTGAATCGGCAAAGAGCTTGAGCAAGAAATGACCCGTTAGTTTCACGTTTGAAAAAATGAATCAGAGTAATAAAAGAAACTATTTATAATACAATTAATTTTCAATTGGTACATTATTAATATTGAGAGTAGCGAAGTCGTTCATTCTTCGACTTCACGGTTTTTATAACGTTTTATGTCAAGAGTGTCTGATAAATAGTTTAATCGATTTAAACTTTTTACTTGATTCTTTAAGTTGCAAATAATGATTGCTGTTGCTGCGTGAATGAATATTATCAATGTGAAGTTATCTATGCGTAATTGTTTGTACACGTCCTTTTGTGTAATTGTAAAACTAATTATCTCGAAAATAAATTATACAGTTTTAAGGTTTTTAGCTCGATTATTTTTCATACTTACTAATTTACTTCGTTGAATGAAAAAAACCGCTGCCAATTTATTGGCAAGTAGCTTCCTTATTTTTTTTTCTTTATCTAAAAGTAATTTGAATATATTAATCTGTAACTTCACAAAATGCGTTTATAAATATATTAATCTAACCCTGATGAGTGTAAATTTAATTTGTTTTTAATTTTAACATAAATTTCAATTTAGACTGGATATTTTATTTAAATATCATAATTTATTATATTTTGTATAATAAGAAAATACAACATTACAACTGTCGTGGGTCAATAAAAAAATTAGATTCTTCAGTCAACAGACGACCGCAGAATCCACATCGAGCACCTTCGTCAGCATCATTGTGTGCATAATGACACAGAACGACATCTCCGATAATCTCGTCAACCATAATTCGCACTTCACCATTCCTTCTATATTGTTCTTGCTAATAATAGAAAGATTTTTAAGCCATCGGCGTTAGCTAGTTGCTCCGTTGGAGGTAAAGGGAAAAACGATAGCGACGATAAGAAACCTGGTTTGAATCAAGCCGCCGTACAAAGTATTCTAAGTATTTCAATTTTTTAATTGAAAAAGTAGTAAAAATAATATTTATTTGTAGACTATACGCTTGCTTGGGCGCAATTGAAAGGATGGCCTCACATGGACCAACAATCTCTTAAACACACCATGAGACAAAAAACGATTGAAAAAAAAAATACGGGCAAATAGACGCATTCCCTTTCCTCAAAGTTATTTCACGATGTTTCACGTTATATCATGTTATTTTACGTAATTTCATGTTATCTTCCACGTTCTACGTTATTTTTGAAAAATTAAATAAAATATTTGAAGTTTGTATTTAATTTTTGTAAAAATTAAATGTATACAAAATGTATACAAACTGTATACATCGGCAATATACAAAATGTATACAAAATGTATAAAATTTTTCTACTTGGGTGGATATTGGTAGCAGTATGTGTACTACACAATAATTTTACCCCGAAACAAATATTTTGGAGGCAGAAATTTTTGTCCAAGTAGTGCATAGTCAGTGACATATAAACGTCGGTAGCTCGAGTCGTCCAACCATCCATCGTGAACGATAGAGTTCGCAAATCTACACAATAATAAAAAATAAAGTTAAGAAAAATAAATAAATTTTATAACGACGATTTTCCAAATCAATATTAAATACCTCGTAGGCCCAATTCTAATTTAGTACGTAAAAAAACTTCTTGCTCCTTGGCGATTTTGGGG